TCCTATAATCAGTGAGGACACTCTAAACTGATCAGAGGAAGCCAACATACTCCGAATTCATAGGGAGCTCATCTTACCCCTGTAAGTGAAGTAACCAACCATTACTCTATTCAGACTAACGCAACCAGTGTTGTAATATATGATCGCTTTCCTCAGTTGACCCTAGGAGTTTCCTCACTAACTATAGGAGTCCATATACAAACTAGGGTAGAAATGTACAGGAACCCGCAAAAATGTCGGAAAATTTCCTCAGAATTTCCATATTGTCACCAACATATGTGGTCAACCATGAGCATATTTTCCCACACTGAACGCCGCACGCCTTGGGAAACGACGATAATATTACTACTACCTAGAATGACGTCCTCAGAGGGCAAGCAATGAATGTACAGAATGAGCTCATAATAACACAATAGTCAACGATGATACAACATATTACTCAACTGCAGAGCAGAAGAAGGAGAGATAATAGTAATTCCAAAGACAGCTAAAACCAGCTGGCATTGCTTCGCTCCGCTAGGCAGTAGTATCATTTTCAGAACAGTCAAGATGGAGTGAATCGACAACTCACAAATGGTCGTAATGAATAGTAACCATCAACATCATCTTGATTGCCCCAACGCCCTCTTCATAGAAAGCTCCCTTATAAAATGATTATAACAGATTACAGTCAACAGCAGTTAGACGTACGTCCGTCACACTTCGGCACTTTGCCAGGCGAAACCGACCGGACCAAATCCGTATCCAGCCATGATCAACCTAAGATACGCAAAGATACCCTCCAGACAAGCACCCATGTCACCACTTCTTCTCTGCTGCGGCCTTGTGCTGAGCCTCTCTGGCCTTGTGTCGAGATTCTCGACAAGCCTGTATCCACTTCACTGTCTCTCTTGCCAAATCCTCCACATCCATATCACGCAAAGTGCTCTTGAAAGTTGTCACCACCATCTCCTGATGAACCTCCATAGGCAATGCCTTGACCTAAGCCAGCGTCTCCACAAGCAAGCCCAGTACGTAGGCTCCCTACCTTCTCTCTCTCCGGTGTGTCCACCTTACTATTTTGCTGCCCTATAGGAGGCTTCTCCTGTATGAGGCAGCCCTCCATCTTGGGGTACGCAAGAGATATCGATGCTAGCATTGCTGCTAGTACTGCATCATTACCTACTACCAGCCATACCACACCTCTCTCACTTCCTATCGATCTACTACCATCAAGAAGGAAGATATCCCACAGTCTAGCCGGAGGCATCGACAACGACTTCGACCATAAGCACAGCATAGGCTCCGCACACAACTTGATCAACAACAACAACAGTCGGGGTCTAATACATGCGATACCACACCTCACCCAAAGTCTGGAAATCTCGAGCCTATCCAGAAGCTGCTTCACATCAGGGAAATGCTCTCCCAGCAGTTCATCCAGTCTGGTGATATCTCTCAAGAACCTGAACTCACTTCGGTACAGTCACGACACTGTTATCGAGTACATACCCTCTGAGGTTCTTCTTATCATAGTAGTCCTTATTGATACCCTCAACGAATGCTGCCAGCACTAGATATACCGTCTCGTCGTCTAAGCCCGGTAGCGCAATAGATAGCAGAGCATTAACGATGAAGTTCATTCCTTGGCAGTAGCCCACCGAAGGACTAACAACAACCTCTCCAAGCTCATCACCGCTGTTGTTACTTCCTCAATGCATATGCCATCAGCACGTCTCGCATTCTATCGATCCGATCAGGTGGGATTCCACCTGCCGTCCTGGGCAGGTCCATCTCAATCTGATGCTTAATCTTAGAGTCCAGTGAGGCCTCATTGTCGAGCATTGCCAGAGCCTTCGGATAAGTCAGTTTGCAGACCGAATCTGACAAGACGGTCGTCACAAAGAGTGCGCATCACTTCCCTACGATGAAGCCTTGCGTGAGCCCAAATCCTCCACAACGTAGGCCTGTACTCAACAGGAACCCCATAAGAATGTACCAGAGGTCGAAGCTCTGATCGATGTACCTACTTTTGTTGGAATAGCTAGGTCCAGGGCGGCAAGGCAGCATAGACTCAAAATGTGTGGCCGACACGCTACAGGACACAGTGTTGGAATATATGATTGGTTTCCTCACCTGGGCTCGGGAGATTCCTCACTAACTATAGGAGTTTATATACAAACTAGGGTAGAAACGTACAGAAACCCACAAAAAATTTGCAAAATTTCCTCAGAATTTCCATATTGTCACCAACATATGTGGTCCACGATGTGCATATTTACCCACACTGACAGGGCAGTACTACTTCTTCCAAGGGTCGGCCTGCCACCACCTTCTCCCACTGGCTTAGCATATTCAATTCATCAGCACTGGGTAGCAAGGACCATGGCCCACTGGATGGGACCGCTTTCGTCACCCCTTTCGAATCCACGTCATTCAGCGACTGGTTCATCAACTGGGAAAAAGAAGAACAGTTACATCGACGATGGTGATCGACGAGTTGCCTTACCGCTAGAGGGTGTCGGTCTACTATGAGCTTGAAGAGGCTCTCACCACTAAGGTCAACAAGGTTCCAGTCTGCGCTGACGACGCTAGGTGACCGAGACGTGGAGTCAACAGAGGAGTCCTGGGCACGGTCAGAGCACTGAGTGGCAGCTGAAACATAAACGATGTGGGTGGTAGAATGCGAGTGCTGGACTGCAAAGAACTGAATCCCGAGTAGTACCACGCTCCCGCCTCTTTTCGACGTTCTCGTGTTCTTCCTCTTTGTCAACCGTCAACGAGGTGTCCACTTTGTTATCGTTGACGGTATCATCAATCGGATCGTCGGGTCCGAATAGGTAGTCTGGAATGGCCTTCAGCTTGTCTAATATAACGGCCATAATAAACTTAAAACGCTGCGCGGAGCCGCGAGGCAAGCGCAAAGGAACACCAAGACGACTTAAGTGCTCAAGATGATGGCGTATCTTCGCAACGTATCTTGGTGTTGAAACGGCTGGACGTTTCACTCACGTTGAAGATGATGAGATTGATTGTACACCTCTGTTCTATCTGAGAGTTAGAGTTCTAGATTGATACTAGACAACCGTAGCTTACTGTGGCTACGTGTTCTCTCTTTGACTGTGAACGTGCGTCGTTTACGACTGGGAGCAGTTGCTCTTACGTTGTAATCTCGCTTGACTAGCACTTGGTCTATATGTAGTGGTCTCACTAGTGCGATTGAGTAGCAAATCCATTAGATCTAATTGTGATGTTGGGTTCCTACGTTAGTGAGAACTCTACGTGGTGAGGATTCCGGCTGAGCCAACCCGCGGTTTAGCAGGGGTACCTTCGGATCGAGTAGAAGTCCCTACGTCTGGTCCCACGCTTTGACAGCTTTGATCCAGCTCTCTACTACTCTTCTACTCTACTCCGTCATCTCCTGGCACCCCTGGCGATCGCGCATTCTACCGGGATTGGTTCTCCTTATGACGTCTATGATCCTCTAACGTCGTCGCCAACCTACTTCCGAGCTACTACGTGCTGGCTACAAGTCTAAGAAGATTGGCCCTCTTCCGATGACTACTACAACTTACAGCATATCTGGTAGCGACGTGGACGTATATCACGTGGCGGTAGAGTTGCTGACGGCGAAGGATGTTTGATCAATATTGCGGTCTGGACTACGTTCACTACGACAACTACCGAGGCAGCTCTAGTTGCTTGCAGCTAGAGTCCCCTCACCCTATGGCCGCACGGTGAATAAGGATCTACCAATCCCACGACACTAGAACCCCTCCCGACATGTATACATAGGTGACGAGCACTGGTCACCAACTATAGCCCTACATGGTATGCACAACTCACGTTTATTCGGTACAACAAGTGAGCTATCGGATGCCGTTATTGTGTATTATCACGTTTGGGTATGGATCCTACGATGAAGATCACGACGTGCTGACACCGAGACTACTGGGATGGCACCGACAGGGCGGTTGCCACCTCGGTCGTGGTTACAGTAAACTACGCAGACTCCAACAAGGTGGTTTCTGGTTTCAATGTCAACACGGCATTATAGACGGCAACGTCATGATAACACGGTAACTTGGTGGGTAGTCAGGCAGTTGCCTACCGGTCACGGTTACAGGGACTGTGTGGTTTCAACAAGGTGAAGCCTTGCCTGTTATCATTACGTTGTTGAAAAAGGTTGGTCACTTCACTAACGTCCGTTCTATGCTAGTGGGTTACGTCATCCCCAAGTACTACAACGTTTAACTACGTTATCAGTACTACAACTAGAACGGCTTTGTGAAGATCACGAGAGGAGAATGGCTCAGGTTATGGCCGTTCGCCTCAGCCTCAGCCGTGGTCACTGGGACTACGTAGTTTCAACATGGTGAAACTTCATTCTCAACGAGCATGACGATAAGGACGTTCGACAGTAGTCAGGCAGTTGCTGTCGACGACGGTCACAGGGACCGATTTGGCTTCCAACAAGGTGGATCCAGTCCTTTCGTCCCGGTCACCATAACGTGTTGATGATTTCTCCGGAGAAGAAGACGGTCTCCTATACGTTATGGCTCGGTGGTTGTGGACAACGGAATCTCTATGTCTAGTACTATCATCTGATGACGACAACCTGAGGTTTCCTACTATTCCGTTGAACCCACACGCCACCAACTATCTACGTGTGTTAGTCAGGCAGTTGACATACGTAGGGTGGATATCTGGGTGTGGCAGTTGTCATGTCCATCTGCAGAAGATGTCCACGACGGTGATATCGACTTGGAAGGTACGTTAGTCAGGCAGTTGACGTTACTCTTACAAGACTGATATTATCATTATGTACGAGCTCAACGGTACATTATTGTACGATCACTCTACTCTGGCGAAGTCGAGTGGTACGTCTCGTACTTAGACGATTATGTTCCGAGATGGGTTGGTCGATATCATCTTGGCTACTACCCGCTTCTCCTACTACATACGTGGTTCATTACTCTACTGATGAACCATCCATTTGGTGGGAATCGACCCAACTGGCACTACTTACAAGGACGAAATCTGTTGCTACCGACTAATCGTCCAACACGACAGGGTGCTTGGTGGATACTCAACTGAACTTCTGGTAGAGTAGACGTCAGCTTGGGTATCCTAGGTAGCTATCGTAACTGTCTTTGACAGTCTATCTATTATCTATTATCTATTCACTTATCATATATATTTGACGTTGTGTCGTCAATTATTCAACGGTGGGTGGTTCAATGGTTGGCTACTGGTATCTACAGCGGTTATATCTGATAACTTGCAAAGCAACCCATGTCCTCTTCGACTGCCAACCCCGTTATTCAAGACGACGGCGATGACGTCATTCTTGACACTGGAGTACAGACTACACCTCCACGTGAGGATGTACGTGGTATTCCACCACCTGTTGTCGTCAGTGTACCCCCTCCAGTTCAACCTGGAACTGTTAGCGGTGGATGGCCCCTACTAGGACCACGTCTGCATCCAGACCGTGCTAACCTACGTGAACCCCCACAACAAGTATATCCTGGTACTATGAACGATACCAACAACCCCATATATATCCCAAGTCTGAGTCGTCGTACTCAGCCCTCATATGGTCAACAACCGGATCGTGGACTTCCTCCACGTGAAGTGTTCTCCAACGAGGCTGTCTCGAACAATCCCAACCCTGCTATAGGTAGTCAACAACAACGACAGTCCTGTACTACTAACGACTCTGGTGACTCTTCGCAATCTAGCGATAGTGGAAGAAGACTACGACGTCAACGACCTGCAAGACACCAACGGGACGGTTCTGATTTACGACGTGGACGCCCTCGCAGATATCGCCACAAGAAGTCTAGACTATCAAGATCTTCATCAAGTGGGTCATCAACATCATCACGTCGTCAAGGTGAAGCCTCTAATCTTCACCAACATGGTCTACAAGGCTTGACGTCCGGGGTCTACTATGTTCCTCCACATAGAGGTCATCCTACTTCTAATTGGTGCTATGGCTGCAAACGTCGTCATTGTGAACGACCTATAACCGTCAAGGACTTTGACACCATGCAGAACGTTATCAGGTCACTTCGACCTGATAAGAACTTTGAGGGTGCCAAAGACAGCCGATCTGGTACTACATGGATAACGGTCATGTACCACGAGACGGAAGGACATCCTGACGTGGTGAGGTATCTATGGCTCAAGAAGTACACGTCCTCTAGGGTGTGGAAGGAGGTAACTACCGGACTAACTCCTCCTTCACGTTGTTATCAAGACTATGAACGACAACTCAAGAAGATCCTCAAGCAGCTCCGCAAGACGTTTGACACTGACGAGCATCTTCACAAGACTGAACGTCAGTTCAACAACTGCGTTCAGGGCACTGACTCTGTCTACGTCTTCATCGAACGTCTAGAAGACCTTAGTTCTGAACTCTACCATCTCGGTTCCCCGGTCTTGGAGTATAAGATGAAGTGGAAGCTCTACAATGGTCTCAAAGGCTCTGAACTACGACTTCGTGTCAACGATTACCTCGACGACAGGGAAGTCGACTATATGGAGTTCAAAGAAGTCGTATTACGTCAGCATAGACGTATGGCCAACATCAACGAGACTACTGAGAGCTCCCGGTCTTTCGACAAGAAGGCCAGAGACGACTCTAGAGGTAGCTATGGTAGACGAAGTGAAGACAGTGGTTATCGTAATCGCCGACCTTGGCAACGACAAACCTCTTACTCTAGACGTGAGTCTGTCAACTCGGTCGAGGCTGGTTACTCCACAGATGACAACGAGACCCGTGAGCATCACGTCAATATGGGACGTGATCTTTCTGGTATGAAATGTTATCGATGTCTCAAACGTGGACATTCTGCTAAAGATTGTCAACAACCAGAACCAGCCGAGCTCTCAGCACGTTGTCGAATCTGTGGCAACCCACAACATCAAGCCGACACGTGCAGAATCAAGAGCGACAAATTAATCTGCCATCGCTGCAA